GATACAAACAACAAACAACAACAACAACAAGCCTTTATCCCACTAGGTGGGGTCGGCTACATGGATTGCAAGACGCCATTGTGCTCTATCATTTATTAAGCTTTTAGAAATATTATTAATTAAGAGATCACGTTCAACAACTTCCAAGAGTGTTCTCTTAGGCCTTCCTCTACCTCTCTTAATCGGACTCAAAGTTATATGTTCCACTCTTCTCACTGGTGCCTCCCTTGGTCTTCTTTGTACATGCCCAAACCATCTCAACCGATTTTCTACCATTTTTTCCTCAATAGGTGCCACCCTCACTTTTTCACGTATGTGCTCATTTCGAATTTTATCTTTACGTGTATGTCCGCACATCCATCGTAACATTCTCATCTCTGCTACTCCAACTTTATGCTCTTGCTGTCCCGTTAGAGCCCAGCATTCACTACTATATAACATTGCCGGTCTGATAGCAGTACGATAAAACTTTCCTTTAAGTTTATTAGGCACCTTACGGTCACAAATAACTCCTTTAGCTTTTCTCCAATTAAACCACCCAGCTTGAATTCTATGTGAAATATCTCCACTGATTTCGCCATCATTTTGGATAATGGCTCCCAAATATCTAAACTTTTCCACTTGAGGTATAATTTGATCTCCCAATTTCACTTCCAAATTATTTTCGAATAGTCCTTTATCAAATTTACAATATAAATATTCCGTCTTACTTCTACTCAGACGAAAACCTTTCGACTCCAATGTCCTCCTCCATAACTCAAGTTTGCAATTAACCTCTTCTCTTGTCTCTGCTATAAGAACTATATCATCCGCGAAGAGCATACATTTCGGGATTTCCTCTTGAATATGTTCCGTCAAAACATTTAAAATCAAGTTGAACAAATAAGGACTCAGAGATGATCCCTGATGTAGCCCAATCTTTATAGGAAAATCCTTTGTTTGACCACTAGGCGTTCTTATACTAGTTTTTACCCCCTCATACATATCTTGTATGGCTTTAATATAAGCAATCCGTACTCCCTTTTTTTCCAACGCTTTCCAAAGCACTTCTCTTGGTATACGGTCATAAGCTTTTTCCAAATCAATAAAAACCATGTGTAGATCTTTATTTTACAACGATACTTTTCCATTAATCCCCTTAGTAGATAAATCGCCTCTGTAGTTGATCTACCTGGCATAAAACCAAATTGATTCTCAGAAATACTTGTCTCCAATCTCAACCTGTGCTCAATTACTTTCTCCCACAATTTCATTGTGTGGCTCATGAGTTTAATCCCTCTATAGTTAGTACAATTCTGAATATCTCCTTTATTTTTATAAATAGGAATTAATGTACTTCTCCTCCACTCATCAGGCATTTTCTTGGACCGTAAAATCACATTAAATAACTTAGTTAACCATCTCACCCCTTCTTCACCTAAACATTTCCACGCTTCGATAGATATACAATCA